CCCCCTTTATATATGCCACCGGCCGTGGCTTAAGTTTAACAAAATACTGAAGTCTGAAGTCGTTTGGTTATTCTTTAAAAAACTTCAGAAGTACCTTATAATATTATTAGAGTTATTAATCTATTTTAAAAATAGAATGCTTTACATTTATTTGATAATGCATTTCACGCTATGATTAAGAGAACATAATTTATTATACATACCTAATTACCTACCTGATTACCTACCTAATGTGTGTACTGTGTACTATGTAGTATGTACACTGTGTACAGTGTACCCAAATAGTATTACAATGAATATACCATTATACATGTATTGATATTATGCTGAGTACTTTTTGGACTTTCGAAACTAAATCGAACACATGTGTTTGATTTCATAAATTAACTGTTTAACTGTGGGTTAGTTAACTGTTAAACGGTCTAATAGCTATACGATATTTATATAACATAACTGATAAGTACTATTGCCTATAGGTTAATGGGTGTGGTGGTTATATTTCAATTTGAAAGTGTCACGTGTCACGTATTATATGTCATAGTTACACCTATCATTGGAAACATTAAATTAAAAAAAAAAAAATTACCCAATATTAGATGGATAAGTATAATATAATACTTAACATAATATTTTATAGGTTAAATATATTACTATGTACATGAAAAAAAAAATTAATTTTCAAAATTGAAATGGTTGATAATTTAATATTGATATTATAAATGACACATAAATATGTGAATATCTTCAAACACTCAAAACTAATTTTCATCAAAAATATATCATATAAATAATAATTACGTAATATATTTTATTAATACATACATTATAATTTATAATATTTCAGTAGAACAATAAAAATATTATTATAAGAGGAATACATTTTTTATTTTTGATATTTATACAACTATTAATTAGTCACATCTAAATATAAATTGATATTTAAGAGTTTTACTTTAGAACTATGATACCTAATATCTATTTTGTGTAAAGACAAGTTGTACACATAATCAAACGACTACTTATATTTATTAAATAATAGCTATTTATGAATGGCGATTGATAGTTGTTGGTATTTAWTGTATCATGATTAGAAAAATACAATTTTAATAATAAACTACTACCTATACAAAAAAAGCAGAGTATTTCGATTATTTTAAAATAGTAGTCTAGTATACTTAAAAAAAAAAAAGCGATGAATATAATTTATTGTACTTACAGACAATTATTTTAATCCAACTATACCCAATGGCCTATATTGCCATGGGTTAATTAAATAAAAAAAATTAACTAATTCGTATTCTCTAAATGTTATACATTGTAATTGTACTATTACAGTAACACATTACACATATATTATAATATTTATAGTTATATTATTTTAGTTACACGAAAATAAATATTTAAAACTAAATAGTTAATCGATACAATCATATAATAAATAGTTCCAGTGCAATAAACAAAACTAATGAGCGAATTCTAATCACCATATCCTTAGACAATTTTTTATCAAATTTATTTTATTTTGAACATCATAATATTTAATAATATGACTACCCTACTGCCCTAGCCGATATAAAGAAAATCCTTTAGACGTATTAAATGTAGGTATAATTTGGGAATATTGCGTAAATTAGACTTATTATTAAAGTATTAATTAATAACAGTAATTACGTCTAAACATTAAGTATATAAACACAAAACTCTCTTTGCACAAACGTATCATATTTGAATATAGTCGCTCGGGGTATAATCTATGTATGGGAAATCATTATTTTGTTATTTCTATAAATATATCACACCTAATGTTATTTTTTTCATGCAGATCCTTGTCCGGGCAATTTCACGCGTATCACACATGCCTGTTATCACTTTAGTGAGAGACAGTATAACTGGAAGTCGGCCATGTCGATGTGTAAAAGTTTGGGCGGAAATTTGTTAGAGTTCGACAACAAAGACGAACAGATTGACGTGCTGACATACCTTATCGGTGACAAGTATTTAAGAGGTGAGTGAGCCATAGTATTAATGAATCGTTATTACTATTACGACTGTGATTATATTATATTAAAAATTGATTTTTTCGGCTAGTGATTATTTTTTTTCTATGCATGAAGATTGAAGGTTAAGGGGTGTTTTTAATGCGCATTTTTAAAGAAAGAATTAATTTCAAATAYAATTTTAAGAGATAATTATTTTTGAGCTTTAATATTTTCAACGGCGATCTAAATTTTTTATTTCATAAACTGAACGAACATTTTTTTCTAAACATTATGTGAATATTATTATAATAATTAGTATTAATATAATCAATATAATTATGATTTATCTACATAATTGATATTAAATGAAATATTGAAAAATATTAGTTTTTTATCAATAATAAACGCATTGAAAATAAATTGTGGAATACCAAATACAAGCAGATTATGAAATGAGAAATATGTATAGGTTCTCATTTGAAAAAAAAAACAATCGTAGAAAATCTGATTATTTTTTCAGAATTACGAATTTTTTTATGATTAATAACAAAAATAACRAATACTACAGGTTCAGGATAAAAAAATCACTCTGTATACTAACATTAGTATTATATGTATGTATGTATAAACACGTGGGAAATAATAGGAAATTGCAGTATATATATACGCGTTCGCGAACACGCAACTGCAGGTTTCGAATATTCAAATAGCTTGATTAAAAAAAAAAAAAAAATTCTATAATTGCACATCGCTGCATGCAGGTTACGACTATTGGACGGGTGGCCTAAACCCAGGACTGCTGTGGATATGGGCCAACAGCGCGAGGCCCGTGGTGCCCAAGGACTCGACGAGGCCCGAGGACCAGATCACCGGGTCGGGCCGGTGTTTGCGTCTCAGCCCGAACTCCGCGACCAAAGTGTATGCGTACTCGGGCGCCGAGTGCAGTAACCGTCACCGGTACGTGTGCAAGCACGAGGAAAACGCCACGGAAAAGGCGCTGACCAGGATACACAAAGCGCTGAAGGACGGAGGTCAGCAGCAACAGAAGCCAATGACGACGGTCTTCGGGTCATCTCCGCTGATCGCGGCCACCGTATAACCATCCACTACCTACTTATTAGCTATACTGCAGTAATCTATTGTACATTAAATGTGATAARTAATCYACGAGCATTACCTATATATAAAATATGTGAATAAATATTATAATGAATTGTGAACTCGTTAAGTCCTACGAAAATATTCAAACCCACGCGACACTCGCAATCGGCTATGAAACTTAATCGTATAATAACGCGAAATTGATATTAAAATATTATGATATAGGTGTTGTAAGTTTTTTTTTTTTTAATTTATATATATATATTATATATTATTATAAATATTATTGTTTTTCAAAGACCGCTGTTTGACATACGTACTCCTTATATTTTACGCATCTTGTCATATTTATTTTTATTACACGTTCGACGGAACATCATTTTAGAATATTTGAATATTTTTTTAACGTTTATTATTATGTACCTATAAGCTTAATTGTATTAAGTCATTGGCGTAATGGCGTCTATCGGCGTCAACGCAACACACGCGTTTTTTGTATTACGCATTTTGCTAATCGATTTCAAATAATAATAACGCAGAAATAATAATAATACAAWGTTTGAGGGGGATCGGTATTTGAAAYTCTAAACGGCCACGTGGTTGATGGTGGCAATGGCGACAAGTAGCGCAGCTACAACCAAGGAAGAGACCTCGTTCCGACTTCCTCCCGAAAACAACGGCATCGTTCGGTCCATCATCCATTCGTAGCCCAGTCGGCTGTTGTTGTTCTTGAGAAGCTCGGTGCCCACCATCTTCCGGATCTTTTCGTTGTACTCGTTTAGCCAACGCACCTGATGAGAGAGAATAAAAACCACATAGATCGTATGTCGAGATCGTTCGGTAGAAAAAAAAACGTAAATTAATCACGTATAGTAGGTATATATATATATACAAGCATAATAGTATAATCGTCGAAACTTTCGAATGATTTCTTGCGATATTTTTTTGGTACTATCCAAATGTACTTAACACTTTACAGCATATACATACTTGTTTTGGGCTCAGCATGTAGTAATCGATAAGCTTTGGTTCAAACGGCACTAGAGTGATCGGCACGAACGTCAAATACTGACCCATTGTTTCGTTCTGTAAAAATCATAAAAATYAATAATTTATTATACTTTTTGACGATATTGCAGTTTTTTTCTTATTCGACGCGACCTCTCGACTGCATAATAATAATTTTAAAGTAATATTTTTTTGAAACTAGATCCTGATATGATTACCTTTGTTATCACTTCTAATATAGTTTCTAGACGTACGCCAAAATGATTTTCTTTATAATAACCGGGTTCTATGTTTAAAAAAAAAACAATGTATAATAAATATCAAAATATACTCTTTTGTCGTGCATTATATTAATATATTATGCATTATATCATACAATGAACGAACAAACGATCGGATTGTTATCGAGTTTAACGACTATCATACAATTATTTATAATACCAGGTATTATAATTGATTTATTCTACCTACTTACCGTCAGATATGAAATATCCTTCCTTGAGCACTACGTCACTTGTCTTTTGTCCGTAATACATATTAACAGGTGCTTAAATGTGTAAACAAAGATAATATCGATATTATTAGTTATTTTGATTAAAAAATCAAATTAATAATCGTACAATAAAATATGTTTTCAATAGATTATTGTATCCGTAGTTTTATCTTTTGGACCCAAATGTTGACTGGTTTGCAGAGTGCCAGTTTTACGTTCCTGTCTTATTATTATAAATCAGTAAAACAGAGACTATAGTATCTACTATCTAATTACTATAAATACAGATATTAGTWTTTTTGATTTAAATTAGAAACATTGTTCTAGAAAACCAAAATATTGAACGATGTATATCGGACTATTAATGAATGATTGCGTTAGAAATTTAAAAGTACCGTACCTTAAGTGTCAGCGGTGTATTTTTAATATAATCACCGATGATAATCCCCCTTTGGATTTTTTTCTTTATTAAAAGGATCCAAGACAAGTATATTATCTAAATATTAATTTTGCTTAGTGTTAACTATTTTATAGTATTTTCGGTAATTTTTTTGTTTTTGAAATTGCAACTAATGTTAGATGTTTTTTTTATTTTATTTAATCTATTTAAGTTTTATTTATTTGTTATTATCGGTGTAGACAGCAGATGGGTAATCATGAAGTCTATCTTAAGAAATATTGTTGAGTGTAAACTAAAAAATTAAATTTACTTAATATCCAATTTAAAATAATCAAGATGTTATTAGTGTAATGTGAACTAAAAATAGCGACCAATTGTGTTATTTAGTATTCAATGTAGAATGTCGTGTACACTCCAAATGTACTAAATATAGGTATAAAACTATACGATTAAGACGTATAGACTATAATACTATATATTGTATAGCAGTATATAAGTATTGGAAACCTCGAAGGGTGTGTGGGGGGCAAATGTTCCCATTGTTACGAAAGTAATTCAATGTTTCATCCTCCCTTAAACAATTCCTAATAACGCTATCGTGTATTGTGTACCGTATTTATATTTTATATTCTAATCATATCTATAATGTGTCCAGTACCTACGCGGAAATCGAAAATTGAGCTAACTTTCTACCGTCGTATAATGACATTATATTATATAATTGTGCAACATTCAACAACACAACCAYTTAATGAGAAACGGGCTAACAGACTTAAATATCGGATTTGACGTGACTCAGTTACCATATCTCTTCGATGTTTAATATTTATGAACACAACAATCGATGTACCTAAATTGGGTATAACAATTGATTATGTTTTTCGTTTAAATTCTCATRCCGATTATAAGTGTTATAATTTACTCTATTTGCAACCCATCTATTCAACATTGCAGGAAATTAAAACCAATGCAATGCATCTTGGAATGATATGACCAAAACTATTTTGTACATTAGGTCCAGAAGGACAAATATCTCTTAGAAATAAAAAAGACTCTGGGGGGATATATCACCCAGATCACCCCCCCCTCCCCTATATACGCCACTGATCCATTGGAATTTTAATAATATTTAGACATAACTATAAACTTATACATGATTATAGTAAGTACTATGACAGCATATATTTAACAGAGGTGCAAGAGTCTGCACTTCTGCARTGACATACGTTAAGAGCGTTTGAAATCAAACGTCTTTACAAAAAAAATATATGATTATCATTTATCACTTACGTTCGTGGACCTTGAGAAACACTCCAATCCCATGGCTGGTACCGTGATTGTAATCGTAATTGAAATCCCAAAGCGGTGCTCTGGCAATTACGTCAATCTGATTGAGTTTCAAATTATACGGAAATGTGAACGACGCAAGATCAATAGACGCCATCAACACCCTCGTGTATGCTTCGATTTGTTCGGCTGATGGCTGTCCAAAATGCACCGTTCTGGTCACGTCCGTAGTTCCATCTGCAGCAGATAAGGTAGAGTTAAATACTTTATAATATTTGATATTTGAATATTATTATTTGTTCCACGAGGTCTTGAGTTATGTATATAGTTAATAGTTCATATTGAACTTTAGGTAATACAATATAATCTATACTACATTAATTATGACCAACACGCGCGCGAGGTGTTTTAAACGATGATTAAAGAATTTTCTTTAAATTTTCATTGGGTTTTCGAACGATATTTTATAACAATTAATGTACAAGTATAGCAGCTATAAATTAATTATCATATCCTGCACGGTTTGTAAATGATTGAAAAAATATATTCAAGTTTAAAAGCGAAATTGCAGAGGCAATTATTTACGATTTTATATTTTGATATAGATTTTTCAGGGTGATTACATTTCGTATTTCAAAAATATTGATAACTTAAATATGCGAGCTGGTTATATATAGGACATCTGGATATCATAGTAACCGATATTTCCGATTTGGGTGGGTCCTAAACGTCTTATATTTGCAGTATTATACGTTCTGTTAAAGTGTGTGTGCCGCATCAAAATTCAAAACCATCGTCAATTATGATTGTTGGTGCCCTTTACTACGAGATTCGGCGACGCTAACGGTATAAAAATCATTTTACTACTGTCTACTAACATGGCATTTAGAATGTTTGTTTGACCTACATTTTTTTCAAGAAATAAATTATGGTTAATTTACCCTATAAAACAATTTTTATGCTTGTTAAAATCATTATACTTATACTTTACTCGACGTTTAATAATATAATATATAAACTAGTGCGTAGTGATCGTATGCAATGCACTTCTAATATTATCATTTATCAACAAGAAAAATAATACGATAGTAAATCTCTCATGAGGTTGTTCATAGAAAACCTAACATCACAAATACACGACTTCGTGACATATCTGACATACGTTGTAATTTAAGAGCGTGTTATAAAAATGAAATGCCAGTTTTGATTATTAATTATTAAATACTTATCTGCAATCTGCAGTCAGAAGATGACGTCAGTTTAAATAAATACATAAATAAACGATGGGTGCGTAACACGTTTTATAATATATATTGTTGTTCATACATCATAGTACACCTTACACCGTACACCTTACACGTTTACACGTCGAGTACATATTATATTATATTATATATATATGGAATTAAGTCTATAATATGTATGCATATGAGACATTTAACTTTTCACTATCTGTATTAGTTATACCTTCCTATATAGATTGAATAGGACGATATATAACGTGGTGTATCTACATATATAATAGTTTTAATTAAATTATATTTTAAATCGACAATGGGYGTTTAAAAATTTATAATAGCATTTAAAATCGGACTTACCCCAGTAATGTGAACCGCTGTCAATGACCAATGTGCTGATGTGATCAAGTTTCAAGCTGCTCGATGTCGACGGCGTATAATGAGGTATAGCCCCGTTGGGCCCGTACCCTACAATGGACCGGAAGCTGGCACCTCGACTGAAGTTTTGTTCATTTCTGTACTTATCCACCATGTTGGCCACGGCAAGTTCGGTGAGTTGCTGTCCGTTTTTAAACTAAAAAAATATAAATTTGTCAAAGTTACAAAAATGCGTCAAATTTACATACGTCATAATAAATATCAAATTATGAGTAGGTAATAATAGCTTCTACAAAGAAACGCATTTTTTGCTACCCCTTCGAAATTAATACACTGTTTCGGCGACGAAACTTGTAGATTTGTTTAAATATTACATTTATACGTGGATTATTAGATCACTATATTTAGCATATTGTTTGTATAGAGCAATAATAATTATTATAATATACGAGTACACTAATCAAACCAAAATAAATTCGAAATGTTTACAATAGAACCAGGTAGTTCAAATGTGACAATTTAATTGTTATCAATGTATCATATTAAATAGGCAACCATGTGAATAGTATTTTGGTTAGTTAATATTAGGTACCTGATCGTTAAGCTTGGCCAATATATTACACATAGCCGCTGAATCTCTAATGTGTGAGAGTCGCATTCCTTCCTTTTCGACGGAATTCTTTTCTGCCATCATGTACATAATTGGCGAAGGAGCTTGCTTTCTCTTTTCAATATTGATCTACGATAATCAAATAAGCAAATTGAACCTCATTAAACTTAAACGGTTTAATTATATTTCCATTACAGTTAAAAGTTAAAACACAATATTCATTATTCCATTATTCATAGTAGGTACCTACAAAGAAATTTTATTTACATTTTAAACTGCCGCAGTCAGTCTAAACTCTAAAGTCGTGATTGACGAGGGCAAAGCTATATAATAGGTAGGTATATATAATACAAATTACAATCGTATGTTAGTGGTAGAAGGTTATTTATAAATCATAGCCGTATGATAGGTATATATTGTTTATTTATTATATCACAATCTACTTTCGAATAAAACTTTTCCATTAAGTTGATTAATTATATATATATATATACATTTACATTAATTGCAGTGAAGATTTCAATGAAGTCATAATGTTACATTAATTTTAGAAAACAGTAACAAATCATAATAATTGTAAGTAAATGTCATTACTCATCATAAAAAAATAATATTCGTTTAATAGACAAGCCATCATATTATAATTTCGAAAACTCACCAAAATGTAAATGCATCTACTTGCGCCGTTGTGGAACTCCGTGGCAGACGGTATTAACACTTTTTGCCAAATCTGCGACAGCGTCCTCAGATCGATCCATATGGCTTCGTAATCGTGAAGCCTACAGTGTGATGTTTAAATTAATATTATAGCTGTATCCCTGGATTATTCTAAATAAGTTTATATTTTGGTGGTATTCGAATAAACAAAATATCATTTCGAGTAAATATTATTATAAAATTATAATGTGTGGGAAGTGAGGTCAAAAGCAATAGATACACACTATGTTATCTATACAGTATACAGTTATATTAATTAATTATTAATTATTTTATGATTTGCTTATTATAAAAAAAGTATGCCATATTATTAGTTATAACTTATATGAAGTCTAACCTAGCGCAATGGGCTGAAATACAATTGTCCGTATGCAGATGTCTCCGAACGTCCGGACTGAGCTTCACGGAATCGGTGTACAGGTGTAGCTGGTCCTTGCTTACGATGACGTACGACTTGAGGAAAGGACCGTAAGGTATGTCATGACCGCGAATATTCAAAAGCCACGCGATTTCGTCCAGAGCCGTCACAATCATAGCGTCGCACCCCATGGCTTTGATTTTATCCCGAGTTGCATCCAATTTGTCTTGCCATCTCTTGCCTGTTTTTTTTTATAATGTCACATCATTTTTTAACTAAAAACGAATTCATCGTATGTATGTATATTATTTAGTGGCGCGTTTATGTGCTCTGTGGAAGAATTGCGTAGTTTACATTTTAAATTTGACCCCTTGAATCACGAACTCACAAAGTATATAATTCATAATATCAAACAATCAAACAAATTATAATATACCTATACTGCAGTATACAGGTACAATCTTTATTTTTAAGGGAGTATAGATAAGTGTTAAGTATACTTAAATATGTTGTATAACGTATCTGAAGTAATTGTTTATATACTAAGATAGTAAGATGCACCAATAAGTCTCGGTATAATGATAAAATTAATTTTTATTAAGGAAATAATTATTTTTTCTTTGAGTTAATTAAACATTACATTTATCTGTATTGTTAAGTTACACACGGTATCGGTACTTACTTAACTGAATGTCAAGGGAATGTTGCATTTTAGTTAGTCCTTAAAAATAAGTTTTGTTTAAATATCGTATAAAATGTGAAAAATATATTAATATACTCATCATAATTTAGGTACAATTATACAAACAAATAATTTAGTTATGAATTCATTCAGAATTGTTTACTAAAATTTTAATATTTGAACAGTTTAATCAAAGAACGAGTGATGAGAATAATAACCACCTACCCTATTATTATTGAACAAATGTGGTTATAGTGTTATACGCATATATTTACTATCTTATGAGTTATGACGATAAGTTGGTATATATATTGAGGCAAGTTATTTACGAATATTATAGTCATATATGACTAAATATATTTGGTATGTAGAATGTAATTAACTACTTATATGAAGTTACCTACGCAATTTAGCTATACATAACAAACAAAATCGTATAGGTATACTGACCTGCGTATTCCAGTGGCCAGACGTAAGCTTCGCGTGTCGGATAATCGGGCCGGTTGTCTATCCATATCATATCAATTATGTTGTTGTTGATGGGCACTAGACTGATGGATTCGTTTGCCAGCGCGTGAAACAAAAACTCCCAGTCACCGTTCGAGATGAGCTTAAGATCGGCGCCCACCCTGGAATTGGGTTTGAACTCATCCAGCAACCATTCGTCCAGCCTTTTCTGCAAATATGTATATTATATACATTTTTAAAATAGTAAATTARATACGTAAATAAATTATGTGCAAGCAAACTATAACCGCCTCCAAACTGTGTGATGTGCCAGCAATTATTGGAAAAACGGATCTTATACATCTGCAAAAATTTCACCTACCGATTCTCCGTGGACAAACAGCTGCCAATCGCAAGACAGTTCTTCGTCCGCCTGTTTGTGGTACATCCACTCGGTCCAGAAAACAGCTTTGGTCTGTGTTACCACGGCCACCCCACCGGTGCCACTGAATCCCGACAGGTATTTCAGTCTTTTGTCGTGATCCGCCACTTCTTCGTTCTACACGCACGCAAAAGTATTTATCAAATCAGGTTAATAAATAAATTATAATATTACGTATGGTGTAAAACACGGTTTATTTTAAGTCTTAAACGTATTTTATACTAGGCAATTTGATGGTGTGTAGGTAGGTACATACGGAATATTGTTTTGATCAGTTTTCGAAAAACCATGTGTCGATTGGAATATTTTCTAAGAAATCATGTATTATACCTAGGGGTGTAATTAAGAAGGGACGAAGCCGATGAAGTGGGATAGATCCCCAAAAAACTTTTATTTTACTGCTAACGTTTTATATTTGGTAGGGTAAATTATACTGTATGAGGCTTTCAGATTTTTCTAAAAACATATAATCCCCCCCCCCAAACTAAATTCCTTATTACGCCACTGGTTGTACCTAAATACTTATATATTTTAGCCTCCTGTTTTTTTTTACCTAGCCATGCGCCCATGTATTTGCGTATTAAAGAAATTGAGTGATTTTGATTTAAAGGCGTGTATTATATACATTTTAATAAACAATAACCTGAGCAAACGAGTCACAAATATGACTTTTCAACTGTTTTTTAATAAATTGAATTATACATTTCCGATATACATTATAAACAACTTTAGATAAGCTGCTATACAATGAAATTAAGTTTTTTTTTAATAATAATGGAAATTATAATTCATTGATGTTGTGAAAATTACTCAATTTTTGTAATTAAATATTATAAATATGCATGTGAATTTTGTATTTGTGTATGGTTTATCTGTATAATAAGTAATTAATAATTTAAATAAATTATTAATTACTTGATGTTCGTCCGTATCTGGGACTATATATGCATCAATTGGTGGTCCATGGTGTGCATTTCTTTTCTTCATTTCATTTCTCAACCTTAAACACGTTGGTTTTTATTCTATATTACTTCAATAAATATGTTATAGTTTAAATCAAAAATAATACGTTAGTACTTGTGGATATTAGAACTAAGTGCACTAGTTATAATATTATAATATAATAAGTACTAGCATTTTTATCTAAAAAACTATTAGTACCTATATAGGTTTATATATTATATCATATCGTATATATAAATATATATATATATTGAATATATGTATAGAATTATAATTATAATGCATACAATATAGTGCAATACTCAATGCAACAATGCACATAGGTTTTAGGGATACAAATTACTAAATGTCTAGATTAATAATAATTGGTTACAAGTAACCAAGTAGGGAGTGGGTGTTTATGCTTTTATCATATTTAAAAAATAAAAATTCTAAATTAATACAGAGGAATATAAAAATGTCTTTCATTACCTAAATAGAATCTAAATTAACAATTTAATAGGTACCTATTCCTTTTTTTCACATATAATATATTCGATTATTACTTCCTTGATCATATTTTTATATTCAACGTGCTTTTGCTTTTAAAGCATATTTAATCATGGATCTTTTATTGTTTGTATTAAGTCAAACATTTCGTTTATTTGGTTTYATTCTAACATAATATTTATGCATATTTTTTCAGATTAACCAACAGTACATGAAGTTTAACTTTAAAAATTATTTATTTTTACTATTTTACTATTTTAAATTTTTAATAAATAAAATAAAATTGAAATTAATGAATAATTAATGAATTTGTATTGATTCATATTTTGAATAATTCTAAGCATATTTTTATTCTGTATATTGTATATTTTTCCATTTGTTAGAGCATAAACATCCGCTCCACAGTTATAATTTTATATTCGCGCTGAAGTGCTTCGCCTAGGGCTTCTTTCGGCCGTGGTGGATACCTATGTCAGCCATTCTTTGTTGTTCAACCTTCGAGGACCTATCACCGGACCACCCAGCGAGAGCCGAGGTGCTCTATGATGTGGAATAGACGTTTAGAGTTTTTTACAAGATATTCTAGGAGATCCTGACTCTCGGAGAAGAGATGGAGAAAGCGAGGCAGGCTGCAGAGAAAGTCTAATGCAGAAGTGGTGGGCGGAGGTCACCACGCAAAATGGCAACTCAGAACGTGAAGTCCAGGGTGGTGAACTCCAATCGGTCCGTGAAGTCACCGTCGTCAGCAATCTAGTCGGTTACAAACCTTTAATTATTACTTGGTCTGCTGTCTGTATCTATATTATTATTATTATTTTTTTTTTAAACATAATAAACGATGGCAGCGCTGTCGACGTAATGCTTAAGCAGTTCCGGAAGCGCGGTCGTAAGCACGGAAAAAAAGTTTTAATTTTATAACATAAAACGTCGTCATTATTTAAATCAACTATTTTTAATATTTTTGTTTTACTCATGAAGTATAGCAGACGTGTTGACTCGATTAATGGGCTGCGGTACGTTTTCCATTGGCGGACATAATTTTCTACCCACTGATGGTTTTTCGTTAGAATATCCATTTTGACTATACGCCGTTGTCCAAAAGTCTAAAACGTAAATTGAGACATAAATACATAATTCTATATACATACATAATATTATTCCTAATAATAAAATAGAATAATGTTATCCATTGTAACAAGTCCATAAAAAAATAATGTTTAAACAATTGTTAAATATTAATTTTATAMATTAATCATAGGTACTTTGCTTTTAACCGATTAAATATAAACCTGTAACTTCAAAAGATTGTTATTCGATTTATAGAATTGGATTGAAGCAAAATATATATGTGACAATGAGATCCATATCTATCCATCGGTCATCTTATGTAGTCATATGACTGGTATATGACAACAAAATATTACTTATACATAAACAAAAAGATCCAATAAAAAAAATAATTATGCCAATTAAATGTATAACAAAAATTGTTAATATTATATGATTTATATGATACATAAATAATTTAAGAAATATACTCATATCAGAAAATTCTAAAAAAACATGTTTAAAAAAAGTTATTACTTCACAAATTAATTTAACCAAAAAAATATTGGATTTCAAAAAAATTATAAAAAATAAACTACTTGACATAGATAAATTGTTTTACGTTCAAAACAGTTCTTATAATCTGATTCACAAATAGGCTATTTTAAATGTATCCAAAAAWTTTATCAATTTTAAATTTTTTTTGGTTTCATTATTAGAAAATTAAAATTAAAAAAAATTTAGGTACCTACTAAAAATGTAGCGCAAGTGTCATAAATTATATACAAAAAAAAAAGGTTTTTAAGCATTGAATACAACAAAAGTTATTCCATATGTCAGATCATCATGATACACCCTGTATATTGTACAATATAAGTTATGTGTTAAATGTCACTGTTATAATGCTGTATAATATGATATATATATATATATTTATACAATATATAAAATATAATGGTAATTGGTAGTTGCGTGCTCTAATAAGTGTTCAGCTTTTTTGAAAGAGGGATATCGAATATAAACATTTKTCGACTGTTTTCACACCACGTAGTGACAGAACAAATTATATTCTTGCATTTACCTGAAGGTGTTAGTTAAAAAATGTCATTAATCTCACGTGCGTAAGGTKAATTTGTATACGAATTATGTATGTAATAAATGTAAATAGTCATATCATCTTGACATAAATCACCCCGAGATGGTGGTCAAGAAGAAGTGAGTACTTTTTYTCTCTCTATATGTGCAATAAATTGTATAAAGAATTAAATATATCTAGTTCATTAAGCCTAAGCTTGGTATGGAGTTTTTTTTTATTAGCCTTTTGTAAATAACAATTATAGTTCAAAAGTAGAGAATTAATAGAAGTAATTTAAATTGAAACATTARAATAAAACTAAAATAAATTGGATTTCAATCACCCTTGATGACTATTAGAGGGGAAGTTTAAATAGTATTAATTATTCAAAAAGCCATCCTTGCATTCATTAATGAATTTATTTATTTTTAACTCTTAACTATTGCAACACAGCCTCAAGTCTTAAATTTAGTTATTCTTTATGGGCCAAAACATATGATACAGAATTTAGATACCTACATAAAATATGTTTAGAAASRCATWAAATAAACTATACCTASTTATATTATGTATTATATAACCAAAACCCAAACCCAAACATATAAAATTAAAATAACAAATTTATCGGAATTACCTTGCTGAAAAAATCAGCTTTTGGGGGAATGAAATCCCAATGTGTGAAATTACTTTTCCGAACAATATTGAAATATTGTTGTTATTATATGTATTATTATGCTGTAATTAAATGAGAGAAGATGATTATATTCAATATATATATAGATATAATAATAGTAACATGTGTATATAGTGTTTATTCCCTCGAGAATGGTAGGTATACTATAGAAACTTGAAAGTGCAATCAACACACTGCGTAAATCTTTTCGCACCCCATATAAAATTCGATGTGTCAGCGTAGATATAATAATAAGATCGATAATATATCTATCGACTATAATACAAGATAAATAGGTACCTGCAATTGCTYCCATCTTATCGTGCATACTGATATACGATATACTGTACGTATCGTAAATAAATAGGCCATGTGCGGATGGCGGAATTCCTAATACATATAATTTGGCCAGGTGGTAATCATTTATTTTGACCCAATTTCAAATGACATTTAAAGTCCTCGAGGGACGAACAAAATTATATTGTTTCACTAAAGGTTGTTTTCTGCACGGACCGTACAAAAATTGCTGACATTTCAAAATCGTCWGATAGAACCGCGCGCGGCGAGTGCCGCTAAATGACGAAAACTCAGCAGTCTTTTATTTTTGGTTTTACGACCAACAGAAAAGCATCAACACATTAATAATAATTATACCAGGAATTAAACAAAATACTATTTTTATWAATGGCCATGGTACGCACATTAACATAAAAAAAGTATGAGTTGATTTTATAAGTCCCTTTAAACAACCCACTCCCTATTTGTTAAGCTCGCAGAGTTTTATAAACATTATTATATTTTACTTATTAAAGTTATCTACGAAAAATGCTTGGAAGAAAACCAATCGAAAATAATACGTGTCGCGGCCCGCGGGTAGTTTAACCGTACCATCTTCCATAATGAAATMCTGCGCATGGGCCTGACGTATTGTGCAAAAGTGGTTTGAGTTATATTCTGAAATTTCTGGAACCCATATAGTAGCTAAAATAAAAATAATGAGCTGATATATCATGTAGGTAGGTAGGTATACTTACAATAACAAAACTAAAGCTCTCTATACATCTCAAATTAAATCCTATGTACAACCTATGTTTAACGCTATATATAAACTGCCAACAAYTAATATTTGAATTGATTTGGTATTATCCGRCATCTATTATCTATAGGTATATTAGATATACAATTTTGATTTCACCTACACTATATGTCTATATATCATAAGCTTAACAGTTAGCGTGATCAAATTCTGCATTTAGCTAGTACCTATACTGCCTATACTATTCTACTAAACAAATATATATATTTATACAATACATAGATTATACGTTGGGGGAGAGTATTATGGATTTTTTTTAAATGACCCTTCCTTTTTTCATTACGAATTATAGTTTCTTCTTCAACATTTATAATATAATATTGTATATCTATAGAACCATATTATAGAAGTACATTTTGAATCACGTGTACATTATATAGTTCCATAAATATGATTAATCATTTTTATTATTATTACTACTTAATTTGATGAAATGTATTTATATTTTATTGTGTTTGCAACTWGAAATATTAGTGTCAGTTATCATATTATAGTATRGGTACTATATAATAATATTTAGATACTCTATTYAATACATTTTGAAAATATTTGGGTAGGTACCTATTTATATACTCGTAATTTTTTTATATGACCGATTRCGATTTTAAAACCTCCTATAAAATAGTATGGAAGGTTAGGTTAAGTCATAACATTATAGGTACATAAAAAACTGAACTTCCGCTAAGAATCRCTCTTCGAATGCGRTTATATTTTATCAATACTTTTAAATGTATAATATGKGTTGCGTGTTGCGTATGATACTACTCTCAGTTTTTAGGTTGATTTTGAATAAAGTATAATTAGGTACACTAAAAATTAAACAATAATAGAATATATTCTTTAGAAAATAAATTTGTATTGGAAAARAGTATTTTACAGTTGGAAGGGTTCTAGGACAGTTAAAATTATTTGTGGAACTGATTAAAATTCTTAGACCAATCTAATTGTACACAAATTAGATATACATTAGGTACATATAATATAGTCTATAAATACCAAATTAAACAATRCTGTCATGAGGGAGTAGGGGCTCAGATTCTTATACTAAAGAGTTATGAGTTTATGACCTACTCACGACTCCTGTTAGAACTTACTGCTCACCACCAACCACCCAAATGATCCTTTTAAAGTTTTAAATAATATTTTCGGTCATTTAAAATAGTAAATAATATACAAATTCAATAATATAAACACTACCTATACTGTCCGACATCGATGTGTAAACGGATACACTAGTTCGAAATTCACCAATTTCGAATGACCGTCACCATACCAGATCTCATGCAGGCCATCGCGATATATGTACCTATATAGTTTATCTAGTCTGTATTTTTCTTCTTCTAGAAGACTTTATTACGAATATCATTACACCTATAWAATACCTATAAATAAAAGCAATCTRTGTTTTAAACGTAAACGGAACGAATTATTCAATGCGATTCAATGGTGGCCATTATATTATATTAATGGGTATGCTTTATATTTGCCATTATTATGGGTATATATGCATTAAAATAGGTGTATATAAACCAACAGCAGCTGCTGAGTGCGGGCAACGCCCAATCGGCGGAAACAACCAGAGGAAGTTTGTCCGTGGCCCCATCAAAGTTTTTATTGATAGAAGTTTTAAACATCAGTTTAAAAAAAAAAAAATGAAAAGAATATAAGTATTAAATATTATACGCCTTTGCAGGTCTTCCTATTCATTGTATATAGSTACACTTATACACCATGYTGTAATGTTTAGCAAATTTAAAATGCGTTCTGTCAATATATCCGATTGAAAACGGTAAAATATTAAGCGCGTCTTGACTTTTGAAGTCTAATATAWGTATAAGTACAGTGAAACTTTCTCATGTCACAATTATTATAGGTACAGCCGGAGTAGGTGCATCATGCATATACATTCCTCTCCCATATAGTCCCATAGTTAGTTATAAATAATAAATATGTACCTACCTAGTAACTACCCATTAATCATAAAATTATATAAGATTTAACGAATCAAACATATAAATATTATATAGGCAGGTTGTAGCCCGTAAGTAACAATAGTTGATATATCTTCATATCATCATTCATATAGGTACTTCATAAACCTAACGGTCTTATAGTTTAAAGACTCTATAATAACAATTTTTTTTTTTTTTTGGTTGTGGGGGCAATTATAAAACACTGAGAAATAATAAAAACTTATGTACACAGGTACCTGTACATCATAGTAGGTACAATAGAGGAATATA